AATCTGAGATTCGACTTACAGACGGACCAGAACCAAGAATAGACCAGGGAGGCTTCTGAGTATGATTCCTCTGTAGTTGGAACACACCCTCCGGTCCCCGTTTCTAAATAGAGGGACCACCACCACAGTCTGCCAATCCAGAGGATCTGTCTGATGCCTCATGTTAACCAATACAGTACCACAACATCCAGAGCATAAAGATACATAGGGCAAATCTCTTCCACCCCTGGGGCCTTGCAACCGAGGAGCTTTTAAATCACCTTGGCAACCTCAGCACTAGAAATGGGAGAATCCGAGCCGGAGCCCTCAGGCTCTGCTTCCTCATTGGAAGATGTTAGTATTTTTAATATTGTAAGATATTTTATTTCTGTGCTGTGTTTTACCTCGGTGCAGCTTTTTGGTCAACAACATGGTTTTTCAAAAAAGCTTTGTATTTTTCCATCGATAGCATCAAGCATTGCTTATTTATTTTTTATGGCCCATCATAACAATGTTTCACCTGTCTCCATTTTAAAACCCATACTATTTCCAAACATGTTCAATGCCCTTTCACTTTTACAAATTTTTTTCACTTCAATCATCCCATCTTTAAGTTTATGGTCTATGCCCTCAAAGTACCCCATAGAAATAGCTACCATTTGGTACAGGGGAAAAAGGTGCATGTGTATATAATAGCATTAAATGCTGCATAATTTCTTTAGGAAACATTGATGCATCGAGCACAAACCTGCAAGGTTTAGGTATGGGTCCTAAGAAAAAAGTTTAGCCTAATGGAGATGAATCCATTATACCATTTCATGACAATGTTGTGGGAGCATGGCGTTTCCTACACCTGCACAACATACTACCAGGAAAAGGGGAGAGCAGCTAGGAGTGATCAGACTATTCAGACCTCTCTATGCTCTGAGTTTTTCTAATATTCCATTTTTGTATAAATGTGCAATGACAATAATTTTATAAATAGGTAAAACCTGATGGAGCACCTGTTGACAGTTGCTTTGTTCACAGGTACTTTACCTGTCTGGGACAATTTACTGAGACTGTTTTTTTAGAATATTTTTTTAAAACAAAAGTACAAAATCTATATTTTATTTTGCTAGATTATTATTTTGTAATTTTTTTTAATTTATTATTACTACTAATATTTGTTTTTTGAATTACTAGTTTTTCTAATTTTCTTTAATGGGAGGGTATGTAAACTTTCAAACACAACTGTACTTACATTTCATTTAATTCAATCTTCAATTTAGTGTGTTCATATAGTGCCAATTCAAAACACGTCATCTCATGGCACTTTACAGGGACAATTCACCCAGATCATGCAGTCAGATTGGTTCAAAGTTTTCTATCTAAAGAAAATCAGCTGAAAACAGAGAAAGAATGAAGCACAATGATGAAAAGTGATCCCTCCGGCCTCCATTAGTTTAAGACTGTAGCAGCATAACTATACAGAAAGCTCAGGATAACCTGAGCCACTCCAAATATAAGCGTTGCCAAAAAGAAAAGTTTAAGCCTTACTCTAAAAGTAGACAAGGTGTTTGTCTCAAGGACTAAAACTGGTATATGGTTGCACATGAGAGGAACCTGATTACTAATAAACAGCTGTACCTCTAAGTAAACCACATTCACTCTGCTCTTTATTACAATGAAGAGTTTGCAGCTGTGGTGGAGACTTTATGGTAGTTATGACTTTCAGAGATGGCATTTATTCCATTGTCATTATCTGAAATCCCCCTGGTTCACAAATTTCCTGATCCATTTGACCTGAATGTGCTGAGCCTGAGCAATTGCTCTTTTTAGAATATATATTGTGGGAAACAGGCTCATCCAGACACCCCATCAAAACTCAAGTTGATGGTTGCCATTTCAGCTGAAGTTACTGCTGCACTCTACCAAGCAAGGCTTGAGTAGAGTGAATTGATTCTGGGGGATTAGAGATTAAGACTTCCCCAGCCGCTTTGGTGCAGTAAATCTGGGGATTATGATGTCAACAGCCTATGGACGCTAGAGAGGAAATTGAATTGTGAGGAACGGGAGCAACGATGGTGCAGGATTACAGCATAGTTAGTGAAAAATCAGAGATGAGAGTCGATGTCTGTGCCTTTCTCCAGCTCAGGAAAACCTCTACGGGAAACCATTTACTGCCTTTGGACAGCAGAAATTGCGAACATGGCAGGAATTACTGAGAATATATTTATGATGTTCATTGAGGGTTAAGAAGATTTCTGTCTGTGGTAATCCTGCTCTGGTTTGGCCTGTGAATCATCAGGTGGTGAGTTCTGCTAAGTACAGGAACTACTTTCATTTAACATTTCATCTAATAATGAGAGTATCTGACAAAATCACATATAAAATGCTCTGCAAAAAAGTCTAATAAACAATAAAGCTCAGTCAATGGAATGCTTGAGATAGAAAAAAATGTATTCATTCAAAGCTAACTCATGTGTTGTTGTGTGTCTGCCTTTCTTTCCATAAGACAACTCCGGTTGTGACGGCACCTCCTACTCCTGCAGCTGTCAGTGTTACATTTGAAGGACTCTCGAAAACCAAGAAGATGAAAGTGAAGTGGGCCCATCTGGGTTTGGTCTTCTTTCTTCTTGTTTCTCTGGTGATGACAGGCTGTTTCCTCTGGCAGTATCAGCTGCCAAAACTTCAGCCAGGTAAGACCGCCATGGTGTCAGGACACTTTTCACTGAAATATCTTTTGTGTCTTCAAGTTTGTCAACTTCAAGATAAATTTACTCTTAATGCCTTCTAGGAAAATTATTCTTTTTTATGTCATCTTAAAAGGTTTATAGCAAAGTATCTAAGACTTCACATGCTTAAGACCAGAGGAAGGATATATTTATGCAGTATTTATATTATAATATAATTAATCAAAAGAGTTAGGGCATGTTCATTTCACCAACTGCTTTCACTCGGTGCTTCAGTTACTTAATAAATTCTCGCTTGAACTTATATTGTTTTGTACAGCAATAAAGTAGCCATATAACTTCATTAATTCCTATGATCAACATTAAAATAAAATAAAAATGCTATATAATGACATCTGTTCTTCTAGAAATGTAAATTTGTGAAAAGTTGACATATTGAAAGTCTTTGCTGACCAAATCAACACAAAACTTTAGGTAGTGCTTTAAATTAGGACAGAAATGAAAGTTAATTTACAAAGGTAGATGTATGACTGAATGATTAAAGCTTTGCTTAACAACAAGTTGAAAACAAGATATTTTTCCTAGTGTTAAATAAATTTTCTCTTCAGACCTTTCGAATCTACTTATTTTCTATTAAAAAAAAACATATTCTTTTCAAACCATGGGTTATATGCCCAACTCACACGCAGAATTTATTTTAGTTTTAAACACCAATTTGCCTTTTTTTGAAGAGAGGTTTTCATCGGGTCAAACAACTTGATCTCTGCCTCATTATAATTATTATTAAGTAGATAATTCAGAACACATTGCAAGTAAAGTTTATGCTTTTTTTTAAGATGGGGGGATAAACATTTGGTGCGGTAAAGCGGGGATTTTTTTCCATGGTCAGCACAATCCCAATACAATAATAATTTAACCTTATTCATTTAACTCTTCCCCTTGGTGAGCTGTGGGCTGCCATTGTGCGGCACCCAGGGAGCAGTGTAGGGTTAAGGGCCTTGTTTAGAGACCAAGAGTGGCAGCCTGTGGGAGTGGGGTTTGAACTCAGAACCTCAGGATTCCAAGCTCTATGCCCTAACCACTAGGCCACCACTCCCCCACAATATCAATAAGTACATATGTAAAGTTTTTTGTTTTTTCTTAAAGTTCATCCAATTTATCCACCTGTTAATAAATAGTTATGAAACCACATAATCAAGCTTTCACGATTTAGGCCAATGCTCTCAAGTTAGCCCATGTAGTTGTGTTTATATTAATAGCTCCTTTGTTCACTTAATTATGAATTTTGATGGATCAATAGATGATCGGTAAAAACTGATTCTTTGAAATATATGCTAAATTTTAACAAAAAATGAGATATCTAAGTTCCAAAACACACACATACATTCACCAGCTCTAATTTTTCCCTTATTAATTACATTAAGTATTTACTGATCTTGTCTGTTATTCACAAAATGGTAGAATAATACAGAGACTAATTTAGGGTAAGTTGTTCTTTTGTTCTTACTTTATCTAACCGTTCTTATATGAAGAAACAGATAATGAGAGTAAAACAGCTGAACTTCTTAATTAGGATGCTTTCTTCCTAAATCAATACTGTGACGTAACAGTGACCTCCTTATCTGATTGGTTAATTAACTAATGAATTTGGCAAACACTAAATAACCATATAACGCTAATCATATTATTTAACATGTTGAGTAACTTATGTCACAGATAAATTTTGTCTGACATATTGTTTTTAAAGATAAAATAGTTTTTGTTTTTCCTTTTTGTAATCTCAAAATATTAGATTACTGTTTTTTATTTTTACTTAAACACATGTGTACTAAATTATAAAAAAAAAACATTCTCAACAATCTAAAAAAAAACCTTGCTTTTTTTGTTTACCTATAGTTTAATTGCAATAATGATTTAAAGGCTTTAACATTCTTAAGTATACAAGAGGACTAAATCCAGTCACAGAAATTGTGCAAAAATTGCAGCAAAGTAATAAACAAGTATTTACATCAGAATTTTAGCTTCTATCATTAATTTCAAACTATTTGCAAAAACGGAAATCTGCATCGTCTGTTTGATGATTACAGAAAAGCTTGGAAAAAAATGACTGTACTTGCATACATTCTGAAACACCTGTTTTTGTCTGAAAAACATTCTCTTTTCAAAATCAAAATGCTAGTGGCCTGAGGCTACAACAACATATCCTGAATTATTTGTGTTCAGAGCAAAGGCAGGTCACATCTTCTTTCTCCAGGGAGCTGTATAGAACATACCATGTATGAATGTATCCTTAAATCTAACCAGCTCCCCATGAGACAGGGAATAGTGAATGAAATGTTCAATCACCAAATTAAAGTACATCACCCCTGCCATCGTGCCCTGGGTGCTGTTTTCTATCAAATGTCAAGTAGGATTTAATCAAAAATTGTCTCCCACCAGGTTTCCTCTAACATTTTTTCCCTCTTTTTTCCTCCTTTCTTATCCATCACACAGATGAAGAGGCAGGTCGCAATGCCAATTCAGAGATGATGTGTCCACGCTTCCCTGAGCCCCTCCCTTTGGAGCATCCTATTCCCAGTCTCAAAGAAGCATTGGAAAAGGTGAGGAAAGTTAATCACAGAAGGACAATCACCAGGCCTTTTAACATTGTGCCCAATCAAAAGCAAATAAAGTTAGAGCCCAGTTAGATAATCCTTCACACCAAATGTTGTTTCATTCGCCAGAAGGAGATTAAAGAATAGCAAATGGAAAAAAAAAAAATGTTCAATGGAGCAAAAGGTTGTGTTGTGGGCAACGGAAAAAGCACTTTAGCATCTCATGACAGAATCACGTAGATGCACTTTATAAGTAAGGGCTTAACTGCATTAACCAAAGAAGCAAAAGAACATTAGTGTCAAATTTATCTTCACCGTTACAACTCAGCTGAGATTAATCATTTCAAATGATCATTTCCTGAAAAGATCAGAATTCTACCTTATTTTCTACAGACATGATGAATTTGAGCTCATTAGCAGAGCTAGACTGCTGCCATTGCATTAGTAAAGCTGATTGAAGGCAAAGGATATATCTAGAAGTAGCAGGACTTCAGCCATCCAGGATTTGAGATTTAGGGCCCTGCATCATAAAATTAAAAGTAATATTAATATATCCAAATAATTTCTTTTCAAACAATAAATCAACCAATGCAAACCAGAAAAACAAAACTGTCAAAAGAATGAAATCATGAGTGTTTTGAAGTGCCTGCTTCAGTCTTTTAAATATAGTTTTGCATTTTCAGACAGATTTTCTTGTGTAAACTGTATGCATTAAAAATTGCGTTTTAAAAATTAGTAATATTAAGCCAACATTTCTGTGTTAAACACATAATAATTTAGTTGTAGGTGGAAAATCATCATAGCTAACAGCAAGTGTTAATCATTCAGAACCACTTTACAAAAATAATCCATTTAGAAATAGCTAATAAATAGTTTATTGATATGTTATCAATTAATCTGTAAACATTTTCTAACAAACTTTAAGGGCATATTTTTAATTAATCGAGATTAAGCAAGAGACAAATTTGCCTGATTCCTGCCAGATAGTCTCTCTAATCTCTTCAGCTATAGTAGATCTTTATTCTCTCGATTGTTATTTTCAGTATTTCAGACTAAGTTACTATCATGTAAACACAATAAACATTTGTAAACACAACATTTTGAGCATGAACGACACTTTTAATATACAGTAAATACTTGTGAATGAGTGTTAAAGTGTTTAGAGATTAGTTAATAACATTTGTGAACTATTTTTAGCCATCTATGATAGGAGCCTTATTGTAAAGTTATAAGGGAGTGTTGGCCTATTGGTTAGAGCAGTGCAATTGTGCTCTGAGAAGGTTGCAAGTAACCAGTTTGATCCTCACAGCCCACACTCTGTGTCTCTGAATAAGACCCTTAACCCCACACTGCTCAAGGGATGGGTTAGTTACAGAGAGTAAATTTCTCCATTGTGAGATCAATGAAAAAAATAAAAATTCTCACCATCATACAGCTCTTGAATTACATTTGATCATTGCTGCACTTAATGGAATGGAAATGAAAGCTGTACAAAATGAAATTTAATTTTGTATACACTCTGGGCCGGAT